ACAATAATATTTCTACGAATGATTGTAACAAAACGAATACGTATACGATGAATAAGAATACGACTAATCATAACAATAAGAAGAGGAGGAAGAGGAGGAGGAGGAGGAGGAGGATTTGGAGGAGGAGGACCCCATCGCCCCTTCCTGCGAGGCCGCGCCTGGCCAGCAGTCGCCGCTGCTGCACTACTTCAGCACGCTGCTCGAGTACGGCAAGCTGAACGCCCTGGAGCTGCCCAGGGGTGACCTGGAGGGAGAGGGGAGAGGGGAGAGGGGAGGGGAGGTGGAGAAGGAGGGGAGGGGGAGGAGGAGGAGGAGGAGAGGAGGAGGAGGAGGAGAGGAGAGGGAGGAGGAGGAGGAGGAAGGGGAGGGAGGAGGAGAGAGGAGGAGGGAGGATGAGGAAGTGAGGAGGAGGAGGGGGCATGAGGAGGATGCGAGGGGAGGGGAGGGGAGGAGGAGGGGGAGAGGGGAGGCCCGAAAGGGAAGGGAAGCGCCCGCCCGACAAGTGGCGCGCCCGCTCCCGGCCGCAGGAGTCCGTGGAGCTGGTGCGGCCCGTGGTGCAGCAGCAGAGGGGGCAGCTGGTCGAGAAGTGGCTCAAGGAGGACAAGCTCGAGTGCACCGAGGAGACGCCCCTCTTCGTCCCCGTCCGCCTCCTCCTCCTTCTCCTCCTCCTCCTCCTCCTTTTCCTTCTCCTCCTCCTCTCCTCGTCTCGAGGCGCACGAAACCAGACATAAACACAAAAACTCTGAGGTCCGCACGGATTTCTCGGATCGGCGCTGGGGCCCCCTGACGGCGCCTCCGGCGTCGCCCCTGGCGCGCTCCGCGAGCCAGGGAGGGGTGTCGAGCGCCGATCCCAGAAATCCGCGCGGACTCCGAGTTTTCATGCTTATGTCATTGTCCGTTCCCCTAGAGACGCCCCCTGGTGGCCAGGGCGGTCGAGGGGGGGGGGGGATGGGGATCGCCCTGGTGACGAGGGGTGGCGAGGGGGTGACGAGGGGGGGGGTGGCGGGGAAGGGGTCCAGGAGGACAGGCCCGAGTGCACCGAGGAGGCGCCCCTTGGCGGCGAGGGCGGTCGAGGGGTTGGGCTGGGCGGCGCGGACGGTGCTGGCTACCGAGGAGACGGGACGACGAAGGGGGGCCACCACAGGTTCACGCATGAGCTGCAAGTCTGTCCCCTGCGCTCCCTGGCAGTCGCTGACCACATCCTCTTCGCCGTGGTCTCCGATGAGGCAGCTGCCGAACACTGCGGGGCCGATTGCCCTGCCGTCACTTGCCGGCGACTCGCTTCGGCCACCCCGAGCTTCGGGAGCGGTTCCTTGCACCTGCCATCCAAAAAGCTCGATGTCCCAGCCCGGCGCCCCTGCACCGCCTGCAGCGTCCCCATCCCATCGATAGAGGTGAGTGACCATCGCCGCGCCGAGCCCATCCGCGAAGAGCCGAGGACGGGCGCCCAGCTCCTTGCTTGAAGTCGGGCACGGCCCCCTGCAGGAGGAAGGTTCGAACATAGTCCAAACCTAGTCTGGGGACTATTAGTTTTAAAGCTGTGTTTGAGCATGTCTTGGGTATTTTTGCTTTTTCGTCCAAGATCCGAGGGGGAGGAGACGGAGGAGGGGGAGGAGGAGGAGGAGGAGGAGAGGAGGAGAGGAGATAAGGAGTAGGGAGGAGAGGAGGAGGAGTAGGAGGGAGGAGGTGGAGGAGGGGTAAGGGGGGAGGAGGAGGGGAGGATGAGGAGGAGCAGGAGGGGGGGATCAGGAGGAGGAGTAGTAGGAGGAGTAAATTGAATGATGGTGGAGAGGAAAATGGCGGAAGAGCAAACGCGAGATGTAAATGGAGAAGGAGGAGGAAACGGAGGAGCTGAGGATGATGTTGTGTAGGAGGACAGTGGTAGGAGGGGAGGAGAGATAATGGGGAGAGGAGGAGGAGGAGGAGGAGGAGGAGGGGGACCCTATAGGGGGACATGCCCGACCTAATCCTTGCTGAAGAGCGCCTCGCGGAGGCGGAGGCGGAGCATCCGCTTCGACCCCTTCCCGCCTTGCCCGGCCGCAGGCGCGTTCCGCACACCGAGCGCGCCAGGGCTCGGGGAGAGCCCCGCCCTTCGTCAAGCGCGCTGGCCTTCTGCACCCAGAGGCCCAAGCAGGCCCCCGAGACCACCTCGAGGGGAAACAAGCCGTGGCCAGGAGGACAACCCCGGGGTTCCCCAAACGGGCCCCCAGAACCTCGAGCCTCGATCCCTCGAACCTCGACCCCCGATCGTCGCAGGGCTGAACCTAAACGGTGTTTTTCGTTCTCGTGTTGTTTTCGTTTTCCCTCGCTTTTGTCTCGAATCCGCCAGCGCGCGCGTCGGTGTTTGTGTTCAGAACGTTTTCCTTTGCGGAGCTGGGTGCCCTGGCGCGGACGGCCGAACGACCCCTGCAGCGGGACACCCTGGCAACACGGCTGCCGCCGCAAAAACGGCCCGTTGAACGCTGGTGCCGCGCAGACGCGGCGCCGAACAGACCCCCGGGGTTTATGTGAGCCCTCGCGCCAGCGTGGCTGCGGAGCGGGAAGGGCAGAAGGGAAGGGGGAGAGGAATAGGAAAGGACGAGGGCAACGGTGATGGTGACGATGATGATGATGACGATGATGCTGCTGCTGATGATGATGATGGTGATGATGATAGCGACGATGATGATGACGACGATGATGATGCTGATGTTGACGCGGGTGCTAATGCTAATGCTGATGCTTCTGCTGCGGATGATGACTACGAGAAGGGTTGGTTGATCTCTTCGTCACGCGGGAGGCTAGGGCTGGAGGGAGAAGGGACGCGATAGACGAGTCGAGCCAGCTCGGAAGTAGATGGCCGAACACCCCACGGCAGTGAAAGACCACCCACTCTACCAGGCACGAGTACCGCTGCCCCTCCCCGGGCCCGACAGTCGAAACCTGACAAGTCTTCGCAAGAACTCGGACAGCGGCACCAGCTTTTCCCTTCTGTGCCTGCCCCGTTTGGGGCAGAGAGACGCCGGATGGGGAAATCGCCAGCATGATTCACGTCTCCCCGGGAGCGAGGAGCACGCGTCGCAGACGCGTGGCTCAAGGCTTCTTTGGAGGGCTCAAGACGGGGGGCCGGGGGCTCATGTTGTTCATCGCTGTCTGCTTCCCCATCCGCTCTTACCCCTTTACCACCTCGAACCATAAGAAATCGGCAAGCGGCGCAGCGGCGCCCGCTCTCCAGCGGGCACCTCCCCACGTTTGTGGGCTGGAGTGCGGCCCACGGCGGGCTCGGCCCAGCACGGATGCAGCGTGCGTGGACGGCGGGGCTCACTTTTGCAGCTCTGGGCCCACGGGCCTGTCCGCCCCCCCCCCCTCGCTCACGGCCCCGCGGCCCGTGCCTAGGAAGATTTGTGGCCCCATCAGGGGGGTGCCAGTGAGGCAATCCTCCTCCTCCTCCTCCTCCTCCTCCTCCTCCTCCTCCTCCTCCTCCTCCTCCTCCTCCTCTCGTCCTCCTCCTCCTCCTCCTCCTCCTCCTCCTCCTCCTCCTCCTCCTGCCACGGTCTGGGGCACGGCGCTCGCTCCTGGGCGAGTCGTGGATGGCGCGGGAGGGTCCGAAGAGACCCGAACAGGGGGCCACACGCGAGCCCTAACCCCCCCCCCCCCACACGATTTCCGAGGGGTGGGTTGGGGTTCACTCCGTTCGATAGCTCCCGAGCGAAGGGAGCCCCACCCGCCCCCTCAGAAGTCGTGGGGGGTGGGGGGGTAGGGTTCGCGTGTGGCCCCCATAACGAGCAAAAGCAAGGCGTGCATGCCCACCTGTTTCGGATCCACCGCAGCTGGTGTCCTCGAGGGGGCGGCGGAGCCCTCCCGTGCACGCTGGGGCGGGGAGGGGGGTGCGGCGGGGGGGCAGGGGGAAGGGCGAGGCCAGGGGGCGGGGTCCGCCCGGTGGCACTTGAGGCAGGGACGAGTATACAAGACTCGCCAGGCCTTTCCGTCGGGGCCCACTCGTAGGATGGCAAATGCGGTACAGCAGGAGAGGCCTTCTTGGGGGGGGGTCTTGGGTCGCACTCCTGTCCTTCACAGTTTTACGGCATCCGCCCTTCCGCCGTCTTCCATCTCTCGCTCAATGCCCGCCCGCCCAACTCGATATCCCTCCCCTCCTCCGCCCGATTCTCTACGCTCCCTCCTTCCTCCTCCTCCTTATTTTGTTTTTCCTTCTCCTCCTCCTCCTCCTCCTTTTCCTTTGTTTTTTTTTTTTTTTTTTTTTTTTCTTTTTTTTTTCTTTTTTTTTTTGTTTTTTTTTTTCCTCCTCCTCCTCCTCCTCCTCCTCCTCCTCCCCCGCATCCGCTTACGCCCTTCCCAGCCTCCTCCTCCTCTTCCTCCTCCTCCTCCTCCTCCACTCCCCGCATCCGCTTACGCCCTTTCCAGCCTCTCTCGATCAGTAGTCGCGTCGCCCGGCTCCAGAGGACGAGGGCGCGGCCGACGTGCACTAGATCAGACTCGAGGGCTGAACTCTGGTCAAGCTCTGGCTGCAATCCAGCAATCGAGGGCCAGTTGTGGGAACGCGCCGCCGTCTTTGCGGCAGCGTTCGCAAAGTTGCCCCCCGCCCACAACAGTGCTTCGACTCGTCCGAGAGCCTAGGGAAACAATCGGCATCCAGATGGGCCTTCATCTTTACACACGAGGCCTGAGCAGTACTCTGAATGAGGAACCCTACTAAGAGGGAGTTTCCTTCCGCATAGTCGGGTTTCCCATCATGCAACCTATGCTGTGGCCACTGCGAGAGGCCTACCAGGCCTTCGTAATCAGTTGTTGCCGTGGCCATCTTCGCGCAGTGTTCACACGCAGCCAGCGACGCAACGTGGCCAGCAGCAGCAGCAGCAGCCGAGATTTGTGGGAGACGCCTGCCCCGTCTGAGGAGGAGGAGGAGGAGGAGGAGGAGGAGGAGGAGGAGGAGGGGGAGGAGGATAGAAATGGATGAGCCAGCCTGGCGACGGAATGGGGAGAGCAGAAGGAGGAATAGGGGTAGCATGGGGGGAGGGGAGCCGGACATGACGACGAGGAGGACGAGAGTAGGCCACGAGGCGGACTAGGAGAACGAGTAGGCTTTCGCGCGCGCGCAGGAGCTAGGCGACATCGTCAAGCCGCTCGACACCAGGCGGGCGAGCCATGGGGCGAGCGCTGGCCAGCTGGAGGAGGGAGGGAGGCACGAGGGAGGGGATGGGAGGAGGAAGTCCCCCTCCTCCTTCTCCTCGAGCTCCTCCCGCCCATGCGTATCTTTCTGTAGGCGGGGACCCGCACAGCCCCCCTCTACGCTCGTCTCCTCGAGTTCCCCCCTTCGCTCTCCTCCTGTGGTCGCGTCGGGCGCAGGGGAGGAGGGATGAGAGAGGAACAGGGCGAGAGAGGGAGGGAGGGAGCGAAGAAGAGGTAGTGAGAGAATATGCAAGAAAGAGGAGGATATGAAGACTGACGCTGAGGAAGAGGACTGATGCACATGAAGAGGCGCAGGAAGAGGAGAAGGGGCATGACCACTTCAAGTGAAACGTTCGACCTAGTTGTGGGAGGGAAGAAGCAGCGACGATAATTAAGGGAGGAAAATCAGGACGAAGGAAGGGTTAGGGAAGGTAGAGAAGAGGATGATGGAGTA